AAAAAAAAAAAAAATATATATATATATATATATATATATAAAAGGCTGGGGATGTGGCTTAGTGGTTAAGACCTGTGTACCAAAAAAAAAAAAATCTATGGGACCATATTTGTAGGTCACATACAAGTACTGTGCCACGACATATAAAGGATCTGATCATCTGGAACTGAGTAGATGTGGAGGGCAGTGTCCTGGGAATAGTCCCCACAGAAAAGATAGGGAGGGAGGGATGTACTTGATAAGACTGATCACATATTAAAAAAAAGAAAAAAAGAAAAACAGGGCTGGGGAGTAGCTCAGTTTTAGAGCACTTGCCTGGCACATGAGGCCGCAGGTCCCGTCCCTAGCACTGAAAACAAAGCAAAAAAAAAAAAAAAAAAAAAAAACCCAAAACCCAAAAATGACTACAGGTGTGCTTGATGTGGCTCCCCAGCACAACCAGGGCACAGATGTGCAGCAGTGGACAGCCCAGGGCCCCGGGCTCTGAGGGAGGGAAGCTGAGCCCACATACCTGATGCTCAGGAAGCCGGCGTGAGGTTTGTGGTCGACACCTCCGATGAGAGCACCGCAGTCAACACAGGAGCCCTGCTCCATCGGCATGCCACACTGGGACAGAGAGGGGACCCACAGTGAGCATCATGGCATGCATAGAAACCACCCTGCACAGGAGGTGGCCTGTCCTGCTGGGACTGCATCTGTGCGTGTGTGTGTGTGTGTGTGTGTGTCAAGGACGAACAGGAGCCTGGGGACAGGGCGGGCACTTAACCAAGTGTGCTATCCAGCGGCAAAGGTGGCTTTATTTAAAAATAATCAGCATGACAGTTTTTCCTCCCAAGTAGCGTGACAAGTGTGCACAACCCGGTCTCCCATCCTCACACTCACCACCTCTCTCCCAGACTCCAGAGCTTCACTCTCTAACTGGACAGACCTCCTCATCCACTGGAAAGAACCCAAACACCTAACCACAAGATCTGCCCCTACCAGGGCTGGGGATATGGCTCAAGCGGTAGCGCGGTCGCCTGGCATGCGTGGGGCTAGGAGAGCGCGCTAGGGCCAGGTTCGATCCTCAGCACCACATAAGAATAAAATAAAGATGTTTTTATAAAAAATAAATATTAAACAAAAAAATTTTTTTCCCTCTCTCTTTCTCTCAAAAAAAAAAAAAAAGATCTGCCTCTACCAAGGGCCCATGTTTCCAAGTCACAGGGTACCCTGCCACATGTGAACCACAACCACAGCAGACCCTTCACTGCAGGCTCTCAGAACAGAGTGGTCCTGGAACCTGTTCCTATCTCACTGCACAACAAGGAAGTGAGTAGGTTCAGGAGGGTGAAGTGTCTCCTGTTCACTTTATGGAGCAGCACACTGGAATCCAGTCCAGCAGCCTGTTGCTCAGCAAGCGCAGATGCCATGAGCAGCCCAGAGACGCCCTAGAGTCCTGGAAGAGCAGCACCCACTCTTCCCCCAGGGCTCATCACTCACGCCCCTGAATCTTTCCTGTCCTCGCCTGTCCTCTGGTGTCTAGCCCACACTTGCTTTTTGGCTAGTGATCCAGCTGGTGGCAGGGCCAGGGAGGGAGTGGGGCTCCCAGCCAGCAGCACCATTGTATCCCAGGGACTTGGGCAGTGCCTGTAGATTCACTGGTCCAGGAAGTGCTGCTACTGGTACCCAGTGAGCCGAGGTCAGGCATGCTGCTAAATATCCTACAATGCAATAAAGACCTGCAGTAAAGAATAATGTCCACAGTGCCATTTAGATGCTCAGTTGGAACACCATGAGCAGCCCTCAGAATGAGCCTGTATCTCCCAGAAGGTCAAGACACTTATTCTCTGCACCCTTCCACTTCAGATGAGAAATGCACATTTTGAGCCTCCCCCAAATACCAAGACTCACCTCTCCGACAGAGCACGGATGACCGTTGGGACAATCTGTTCAAAGAACAACAGGACACATGTTAACTAGTGAGCCTCCACCAAACGACCTATGTGGGAAGGGGAAATTGCTGCCCTCCTCTCTGTCCCTGACCAAAAGGACCCACAGCCTACGTCCTGAGCTCCTCACCAGGATCCTTGAGCCATGCCGTCAGCTAAGTTACTAGACATGTTCCTGGAGTTAACTGAATACGTGCCACCAGTGAAAAATGTCTGAACTTGGCTTTACACAGCAGAGAGGTGAGATTCACACACTAGGGTGGCAGAGGGGACAGTGTTTTGTAACTTTCTATTCCCTTGGATGTTTTCTTTTTTTTTTTTTTGGCAAAACCATGTTTTATAACAATTTGAAAAACTAGTTATTGGGCTGGGGATGTGGCTCAAGCGGTAGCGCGTTGCCTGGCATGCGTGCGGCCCGGGTTCGATCCCCAGCACCACATACAAACAAAGATGTTGTGTCCGCCGAAAATTAAAAAATAAATATTAAAAAATTCTCTCTCTCTTTTTCTAAAAAAAAAAAAAAAAAAAACAACCCTGGATTATGACTGCTTTTGAATGAGCCTCAGAATGGTCCCCAGGTCTCCATTCTCCCAAATGACATTTTCTGGAGAGCAACAATGCAGGCCAAAGGTTTTGTCCCATGACTATGCAGGAAAACGTCATCTAGCCAGCAAACTATGTGGCTCTCAAGCCACATGGCTCTGCCAATTGCCAAAGGCAGGAGGAGGCAGGTGACTTGGGCCTTCAGCAGAACCCTATGAAGCCCAGGACCAACCCCAGGTCTGGCATGATCAAAGGATGCTCTTACAAGCTGCAAAGCGTGACCCCTTGAGACACCAGTACTCACTGTACCAGCGGACGCCTTCCAGACCTCTCCACTTCTGGGCTTGAGCTAGCAGGTCTTCAGGCATCGTTGGAAGAAAAGCATTCTGAAAGACCCAGAGCAGAAATCACCCTCCTAAGAGGGCCTGTTGGCTATGGCTGCTAACCAGCAAGAGGCACAGAGTGAGGAAGTTTCTACTCAGCTCGAGAGCTGTTTATAGAGGACGTACAGCAACTTCATGTGAAATGACAGCCATGACACCAGCACTGTGCTGAAGGACCAAGTGGGGCAACAGTGCAGAAATCTAGAAGATGGACAGGTTTGACAGTTCCCATGGCCACATCTCATGTTGTCATGTTGGCTGGATCTCCCAACATGACAAACCACTGAAGTTTCACAGGGCTGCTTACCGCCATGCTGGCCGGGGAGAAGGCCAAGTTCCGCAAAGGGGCCAAGACTTCGCTCTGTCCACACAGAAGGACAGCTGCAGCATGAACAGCCATTTCTGTCACTGTTCCTTCAAGGCTCTCGACACCAGGGCCCGTGCTCAGCAAGGGCAGAGTGTTGTTCACGAGGGATGCTGCGAAAGGCCTGACCCCCGGAGGAGACAGGACCCTGCTGTCTTCAATGAACTGGCTCACAGCCTCGCACTGCTGGCTCGAAAGATGTTTTTCACATTAGGGTATGTCAAAGAAGAGCGCTGTGTGAATTCAGGATTTTCTCTTTGAAAGTCACACATTTCAATATTGAGTACTTATCAAATATCAAGGTAAATATAGTTAAATGATCACCAAAGGAGGGTAAATTAATCAGGCTGGGGTTGTGGCTCAGCGGTAGCGTGCTTGCCTAGCATGTGTGAGGTACTGGGTTCAATTCTCAGCACCACATATAAAAAAAATAAATGAATAAAGGTCCATCAATAACTCATAAAAATTAAACAAGAACAAAAAAGAGAATGTTCATATAGAAACACAATAACCACATTCTTGAGTACAGATTTCAATACTCTGTTTTGATAAACATTATGTAATGTTCCTGAGTCTATAAGCTTGGGTTAAACCGAAAATAGTTCTTCCACATAACAAGGGTACACCCTCTGTCCTATAAAGGAAGTTTCGGAAGGTCATACTTTCTATTATCCGAGATACAAATAAAAGTTGTGACTTTTACTGTGCTCAGAAAGTCCCTCCCAATCATGAGACTAAGTGCAAGCCCAGCGTGTCCCTCACCTCTGGCTTAGGGTGGAGGTCCTTGTTGCGGGAGCAGTGGAGAGCAGCCACTTCTCGGTACAGCACCAGCAGCAGGTAGACCACCTGTCGAGCTCCGGGGCTCCTGCAGGCCTGCGGGTGGGATGTGGAGTGAGCATTCAGAAGCTCCACAGCACTACCTGGAGCGGCCTTCCCAAGGCCATGCACCAGGGCCTCCATACACGCCTGGGGCTGTGCGTCCATGAGGCATGCTCAGGTTAATCGGGCAGCCTTGCTGGAGGAACGGAAGTCGGCACCTGTTCTCCTCCAACTACCTCACTGATCTTAGCAATGTTTCCTGAGAAGAGACAGGATTTTCTATTTTCTCTTCCCAGCACAAGGCCAGGATAAAGACTCAAAAAGGAAGCAAGACCTGAATAAGTTAAAGGTGACAATCCTGGGGCTTGGTGGAGAGCACTTATGTCCTGCTCTATTTTTTTTAATGTGAGCACCACATAAAAAAATAAAGGTATTGTGTCCATCTACAACTAAAAATACTAAGAAAAAGACCAGAATCCTAAAACCCTGTATTAACATCAAAATAGACACATAAGCATACACATGGATTGTGAATCTACATAGCCATGGATTTGGCTGATAGTGCTGACATCTTTCACTCACAATAATCCTATAGAGAATTATTTCTCAGCAAGGTCTTAAAGAGATAATGCACATAAACAATAAAAAAGAAGTGGCTGATGGCCTTGGCAGGTGCAGCAAATGTATGAGCCCAGCTCAGTTGCTGCTGCACTACTGTTCTAGCCATTAGTTCCCCCATGCTGGCCAGTGCACCATGCTGGCCATGGGCACATGCCTCCTGGCATGCAGTGTGATTCTAGGGGCTGTTCAGAGCCCCTCTCTTCACACCTGCATCCTTGAACATAACCAGAGAAGATGGGGCACAAGGGTCCCCTGGCAGCAAGGGAAGCTGCATGTCATCCTACCGTCAGAGCAGCTTCAAGGCTGGGGGCCTTGCCCTTGAGCATGGCTTTGCCCACCGCGTCACGAAGTGCCTTGTACTCATCCCCATACACCAGGTATCGGTCCATCTGGCCCGTGTGGTCCTTCTGCAGCCCAAGAGCAGGGGGTTAGTCACAGTGGAATGGGGTGGGATGTTTGTAAAGAACCCTTCTCCACAGGCAACCCAAGGCACGAGGCACCACTGGAGGCTAGAGGCAGCTGAGCTGGGTCACCCTGTGGGGCCTGCACAGGACACTCCTGGGGTCTTCAGGAGCACGGGAAGGAGGGAGGCTACCCCTGGAACTGCTTGCTTTCTGTATATATAGCACCATACCAAGCGAGGTGACAAAAACATGTCATCCTGAGTCCCACGTGGTCATGCTCAAAATGCCTAGAGGACTGGGACTGCAGCTCAGTGGCAAAGTGCTTGCCTAGCATGCATGAGGCACTGGGTTTGATCCTCAACACCACATAAAAATTAACAAAAAAAAAAAAAAAAACAAACAAAGGCATTCTGTCCATCTACAACTACAACAACAACAACAAAAAATGTCTATAGAGTTTCAGTGCCATTTTGTGACCCCCGGGACAGTAAGAATTTACCAATTTCTGAGCACTAGGAGCTGAGAAGCCTGAAAGTCAAACTCATGGCAATTGTCTCTCAATTCTCACCGGCCTCTGCCTGGCAGTGAGCACAAGACACCGCCTCTAAGCTGAATCTCCTTATAATTTGCTGGAAGCAAATATTAAAAAATACTCATTCACTTTCTCTCGTCTAATTCAATTAGAAGTGAAGCCTGGGAAGCTGCAGGTGAATGAGAAACCAGAAACACTTGTGAGCACCCACAGGTGTCCATGCCTGCCTTTGCCCTCCAGTACATGGCCTAAACCCACGCTGAAGCAGAGACCAAGGACCAGATAGATGCCTGCCAGTGCCCTCCTATCGTGAGGACTGGGAGGTGGGGCAGGGTGGGGAGTGGTGCCCGAAGTTGCCCGCTCTGCCAGGGTCCTGCCCTCACCTGCTGTGCAGTGACTCCCTTGGGAAACACCCACTGGCACTGACGGCCCTGCCTGGAGAGGCTCTGCACAAACTCCATCCCACGCAGGCTCGCGAGCCTCCGGACCAGGTACACGCGGTGCCAGTCGTTCCCCGCCCGGGTGCAGAACTGCTCGACGTGCCGCAGGTAGCACTGCTGTTCCTCAGCCAGCTCTGAGAATGCAAGGACAAAACTGGTCAGTGACTGGGGACTGAGGGCCTGCTTCTAGGGAACTCAGTAAAACACACCCAGGAGAGGGGAACATGGTAAGGGTCAGCAAGACCCTAAGGAACTGTCCAACTTCTCTAGGCAGAGCCAACTTCTCCCAGGTAGGGAAGACCTGCCTGAGCCCTCCTGAATCTCCAAGAGGAGGTCAGAAGCCCTGTCAAGACACAGGCGGGTCCTGGCCACCTCCTGCAGGTACTCGACAGATGCTGCAGTGGCAGGTCCTTGGCCTCGTCTCCCTGAGGAGCAGGTCTGGAGGAAACGGCCTTCCTCCCTCAGGCACTGGAGTTCACTCTGTGTGCAGTAAGCGCTGGTCTTCTCCTGAATTGAATCCTGAGGAATAAAGAACAAGAAAGAAAAGAATATTATGCTTTTTTAATAGGCAAGTCTCTGACCCTCTGAAATTGCTGGGAGAATTAAAGGGAAGATAAAGACCGCCATTGTAGAGCGGAGTATAAATTTTTTGGATCATAGAAAACAAATGGAAAAAGCAAGCCTGTAAAGAAAAAAAATGTACAATTTAAGATAAAAAGAATAAACCCACATGTGTTAATGATGTTTAGCAGAGTGGCTTTGTTTTATATTCCTGTAATTCTCGGAAGCCTAGTTTAACAGAAGTCAGCTGACTTCCTTCATCTGCTTCTGATGCCACATTGAGGCATATGAAGGAATAAAAATATGAAGAAAATAAAAATAAAAAGGATTCATGATCAGGGCTGGGGATGTGGCTCAAGCGGTAGCACGCTCGCCTGGCATGCGTGCGGCCTGGGTTCGATCCTCAGCACCACATACAAACAAAGATGTTGTGTCCGCCGAAAACTAAAAAATAAATATTAAAAATTCTCTCTCTCTCTCTCCCCCTCACTCTCTCTTTAAAATTAAAAAAAAAAAAAAAAGGATTCATGATCTCACCAGCTGTGGACGACCCTGGCTAACCCTGTGACATAGTCATCCAGGCTGCGGTTCCTTCCGCTTTACACAAACGTGCGCACGACTGTCAATAGTTACGTACTGCTTAACAACAGGACACCTTCAAGAAACGCATCCTTAGGGGATTTCACCGCCGAGCAAACGTTGGACAGCTTTACAGGCTAGGTGGAGATCTCACATACCACCAGAGAGTGGTGTACGACAGTGACAGAAATGTCACCAAACAGCTCGTGACGTGTGTGTGACATCTAAGGACAGAGCAATGTCTTTGAAACTTCTTTCTTTTTCCACGTGGGAAAGAAACATCTGTTAATTGCACTGAGTAAAGCTACATCCTGTCAGTTTTCAGAAACTCTGCCACTGAGCAGACCACATGGTTCAGATGGTTTGCAGAAGCAGAGCGACGAAGCTTACTTCCAGGCAGTTGATGAAGAGCATGTACAGTTCGGTCTTGTCTTCAGTGATGAACGCCTTCTTCTCTAACAGGGACAAGTAGGCCTGGATGTAATCTTTCACTGCATCGAAGCTGTGGAAAGAGCGATATTATTTCTGGTTATATCAGGATGGCAGAATCACCCTACACAAAAGAACATCTACTAACCAATCATCTGCCCATCTATTTTTCTCTGTGTGTATAAAGGTATAATACATACATATGGAAGTATATAGATTTAACAGCTTTTTATTAAAAATGTTATCAGAGTCTCGGGGGAATATGGAATTCCATATTGCAGACCAGCTGTTCAAAAAAACTTATTGAGAACTGCAGACAATTTTTTGTTTATTTAGGTCAAATCTTTCAATGTTTATGGTACTAAACATTAAAACTGAAAAGTTTCAAGAGTATTTATTAATTCATGTAAGACAAAAAGAATAAACCCTCATGTTCTTGGAAGCCTAGTTTAACGAGAAGACGCTAGCTGACTTCCATCACCTGCTTCTGATGCTACATTGAGGCATATGAAGAAAATCTGGCCTTACAGACGATGTAGTTGGAAAAGGAGAAAATGTTGCATATATTTGGGGCTATTCTTTTTCGATACTGTACCAACCCTTGAAAAGTGATCATTTCTCAAAGCTGATTGTGGGGCCTGAGACCACACCAGTTCTGTTTTCACTTTCAATTACGTGACACCCACACAGTCTACTCTGCTGTGGATTGTTCCCAGTGTTACAGAAGGAACCCAGGGCCTCCCTGGGGGCTAGTCAAAGCCGTACCACTGAGCTGCATGCCTAGCTGCTGGATCATTTTTGACACACATGATTCTGGACATTAGGCATTGGTCATTTGGAAAAGCCTTGGTTTGCTGAGCAAGGCAGATTGTGAGAGGTTGGCATCTTTTTTCCACGACCTGTTGTTGTAGATACCTACCTATATTCATTAACCTCACTACAGATCTGTGGTCTGGTACTCATTGGTTTAGGCAAAATGGCAAGGCCTGAGGGTAGCAGCCACTCTAAACCGGAGACCTTAAGGAGTGGCATGCTTTGAGATAACCACTATCCTCTGCTATGCAGCTGGAGTGTTTCTGGTCTATTTCCTGCTGCTACACAACATTAAAAACATTACATGTTCACAGTGGAGAAGTAAACCATGACTCTGGTTATAATTTCCTTCATGCAGAGAGGCCCACAATTTACCCATCACTGCTTTGGCAATGTCATCACAAATAGCAACATGTTGAAAAGGCAAATTACTGTCTCACTTTTTTAAAATATATTTTAAAATTGTAGATGGACACCATGCCTTTACTTTATTTATTAATTCTTATACGGTGCTGAGGATCAAACCCAGTGCCTCACACATGCTCGATAAGCACTCCACCGCCGACCTACAACCCCATCCCCACTTAGTATTATTTTTAAGAATTCAGCTCAGGGACCCCTTCCCCACCAAAGAATCCCACCATCACTCTGAGAACTGAAGCTTGATGAACACATAGGATCAGCCAGCTTGGACAACATGACAGACACCATGTTTGGACAACACGGACCGCCCATCTAACCAAGAAAACACAGAGTCCATGCGCCGTGGAACTGGACTTGGAGGAAGCCAAGGGTGAAGGAGGTCCTGAGTTACTCCCCCACAAATCATACTCTGGGGTGGGCTGTGGAGCTAGGGTCAGAAACACCCCTCTGGATGTAGGGGTTCTGCCTGCCTCACCACGCCGAGGATCCCTCCCCAGCACTCCCTTGGCCATGGCCAAATCATATGCCCCTTGGGGACAGTGTCTATACACAACCATGAGCTAGGACATGTGGCAGCACGAAGACCAAGCATGGCGCACCCAGAGAAGCCAAGGCCCTGGAGAGGCGCGCGCTCAGGGAGCCGCTCCCACCTGTACTTCAGGAGCAGCTTCAGCACCACGGAGCGAATGACGGGAGTCTTATCCACGGCATCATCAAATGGTGAGAGAGACTTCGTGTGTTCCCGGTGTCCTAGCCAGAAAGAAAAAGATGCTTTCGCTCATATCATGGCACCAAATGGAGAGGAACTGAATCTAGGTTTGAAGGAAGAAAGCAACTCACGCTGGGGAGCATCTCTCAAGAGCTCCTTCTGCACGAAGAGTAGAGACAGCAGCCCATCAATCACGCTCTTCTGGGGAGGGGTATTGTCTTTGAAGCAGACAGTAGAAACCAGGTCCACAAAGAAACTGTTGCACATCTGCCGGAACTGGGCATGTTTCCCAATGGCCACCCTGAGGAAACGGCAGCAAACCCAGTCAGAAGGCTCAAAGAGCGTGTTCCCAAATCCCTGCATGCAGAATGATTTGAGATTCAGACAACATCTCATTTTACACCATCAGATTCAAGTGTCCACTGCCTTTGATCAGCTGGTCTTTGCAACTGCAGACAGCATCTACACATATCTCCTCCAAGAACAGCTCCACCGTTGAACCAGCCCAAACAGGTCACAGAACCCCTCGGTTGGGAGGAAAGATGGGAAAACCACCACTGGCGGAGCAGGACCAAGGTCTGAAGCGCACAGAGCTATAGCTCTCTTCCCTACCCCCAGAGGCTGGGCAGAGCGGGTGTGTGGCTTTGTGGTAGAGGGCTGGCTTGCCAAGCACGCACAGGCCTGGGCTCCACGCCGCACCCGCCACCCACGCGCAACGGAGGAGGGAGAAGCTGGTCTCTCTCAAGGGCTTCATTTCATATTGTCTGAATTTTGCTGTCTCAAAATCTTGCTGGACATGTGATATCTTGGAGAGAGAGGAATTCTGAGGCACACAATGTCTAAGAAGTGCCCAAGTGAGAGCCTCACTTTAGACAGCTCTCCAAAGCCAGGCTTTTACCAGACGGAAGAAAAATTGAAGTTCTGTATATTATTTGAAAAAAAGGATGGAGAAAAGAGGAAGACTTTTAAAGAGATTGAGTGTTTTACCTGTGCTCTCGGGAAACTGTCACAGAGAACTTGTCAGGCAGGTCGGTTAAACAGTAGGGGCAAATCATCTGCCCGGGGACGAGCCAGCTCTTGATGCAAGGCAGGCAGTACACATGGTCACAGGGCAGACACACAGGGTCCTGAGCATCTCCCAGGCAGATGGGGCATGGCTGCACTCCAAACCTGGAATCCAAGCAGGCGATGGGCCCAGGCAGGGCCCCCCAGGGGCAGCGCTCCCTCCTCCCTGGAGCCCAGACCCCTCACCTGGCCAGGCTCTTGCTAGCTTGCTCCTTGCACTCGCAGAGAGTGGTCATCACAGCCATAAAAGGCCTCTGGGTCTTGAGGTTGGAGTTCTCTTGAAGACACTGGAGAAGAAAGTCCTGGTGAGAGGTGGCACCCAGCGAGGGGGAGCAGAGGTCCCCCCAGTCAGCTGTGCCCTGGGGCAGCCCAAGGCCTCAGGGTTCTGCGCATGTCCCAGGCTGCCAACTCTTTGTGGCCTGCTGCTTTTTAAAAACGAGGACTAAATCACCAGGTCTCTTCTCCGCTCCTTCTTTCGGGTCTACCCCCTTCCCTCATCTGGTGTTTTCAAACATTAAATAATAACGTCATGGCCTTGCAGACACACCATTAAGCTTTAAGAGACCTGGGCATTTTTTGAGTATTTATGTAGGCCTTGATTGGGTGATTGGGTGATTGATTTAGAGACGGGGTCTGCCTGTGTTTTCCAAGCTGCTCTCAAACTCCTGGCCTCAAGTGGGGACTACAGCTGTGCACCGCCACCCCTGGCTAGAGCATGTTTTAAAGGAACATCACATGGAGACCCAGTGTGGCTGCACGGCCGCCCTTCTGGTCAAGTCCCCTCCACTCCCAGGTAACCACCCGCCTAAGCTTTTCCTCTGAGGGCACATGCACCTGTGTCATCACCCTGCCCCTGTCCTGCATGACCCAGAGGCCTGGGAGGCCCCACTGCAGGCTTGCTTCTGCGACTTCCTGGTCGGCTGCTCAGCTGCAGCTGACGGGTGTTAACTACTGTATGGCCGCCCCCACGACTCTTCCAGATTCCTGTCATGGGCATTCAGTGTGTGCTGGGGCTTCTGACTCTGAACCGTGTGTGCTACGCTAACAGTCTAGGGTACATGGGCTTCAGTAAACACAGGAAGTTGAGCTGGGGAGCACTTTCCTGGCATGCACGAGGCCCTGGGTTCCACCCTAGCACCACGAAATAAATCAAAGTGTCTCTAGGACACAGTTAGAAATGCACATCTCCAGCAGTGCAGGGCAGTGGATCTCATGATTCAATGGCTGTTTCTGAGAGTATGTGCTCAGGCAGGATGTTAGTATAGACGTTCCTACAGGAAGTTTCCACTGGGCATTCTTAAAGGGCAGTTCCTATTTCGACTTTGCATAGGGTATTTTTTAAAATCATAAATCATGTCAAATATTCTGTCTAGCTTTTGAAGTTATCATTTAGAGGTAACTTTTTAGCTTATATCACTGATGACATTTATAGATTTTTTTGAGCCATCCTTGAATTCCCAGGATTGATCATACTTGAAAATGATGTGTTTAATATCCTGATAAACTTGATTTGTTAAGTAACAACCCAACTCAGCAGCAGGCAAAGGACTTAGACATTTCTTCAAAGACACATAAATACCAGAGACGTGCACGACAGTGGTCCTCTTCCTGCTTTGGATATAGCCCTTGCTGCTCTAAAGCAGGCTTATTTTTCTCTCCTCCCTCATCTTAGGGAAAACAGGATTCTTTTGAATGGCTCTTTAGAAACCCTCTGGTCCCATATCACTCCAGTCAGAATATAAGTAATAAAAAATGTGGGTGAGGACTGGGGTTGTGGCTTGGTGGTAGAGCGCTCGTCTCACATGTGTGAAGCACTGGGTTCCATCCTCAGCAACACATAAAAATAAATAAATTAAATAAGGGAATCATGTCCATCTATAACTAACAAAATAATATTAAGAAAAAATGTGGGGCTGGGGTTGTGGCTCAGCGGTAGAGCGTTTGCCTAGCACGGGCAAGGCCCTGGGTTCGATCCCCAACACCACATAAAAATAAATAAATAAAGATATTGTGTCCAACTACAATTAAAGCTATTAAAAAAAAAGAAAAGAAAAAATGTGGGTGAGGATGTGGGGAAAAAGGCACTCTCAGACATTGCTGGTGGGACTGCACATTGGTGCAACCGCTCTAGAAAGCAGAAAACTTGGAATGGAATCACCATTTTACCCAGTTATCCCATGCCTCAGCATATACCCAAAGGACTTAAAATCAGCATACTACAGTGACACAGCCATATCAATGTTTATAACAGCTCAATTCACAATAGCTAAACTATGGAACCAATGTAAGTGCTCTTCAGAAGATGAATGGATTAAGAAAATGGGTAGATATACATTATGGAATATTACTCAGCCATAAAGAATGAAATTATGGCATTTGCCAGTAAATGGATGGAAATGGAGCCTATCATGCTAAGTGAAATAAATCAATCCCCCAAACCAAAGGCTGAATGTTTTCTCTGATATGCTGATGCTGACTCACAATAGGTGGGCAGGGTGGGGGTCGGGTAGTGGAGGTTCACCAGATGAGATAGAATAGGGGGAAGGGAGGGGAATAGGAAAGACAGTAGAATGAATCGGACATCACTTTCCTACGTTCACATGTGAGTACACGGCCAGCGTAACTCCACATCGTGTTCAACCATATATGTCTGATAGGTCAGAATGCACTCTACTGTGACGTACAACTAAAAAGAATGACAGCAACAAAACAATAGGGGGAGCCCTCTGTTCCCCCTGATCTGGGGAGTCACAGCTTCTGGGACACAAGTCCCTGTGCTTCTCCTTTGCTATTTATTGCAAAGCAATAAAATGTCTTTTTCCTGTTTCAAAAAACGCAAAAACAAAAACAAAAACCTCTCAAGTTCCATGGTCCATTAGCACACTCTGTGAAGTCTCCTGTGCTTTCCAGCTAGACAAGGGACTTAGCTCAGGGCGGTGAAACATGAGCTGGAGGGTGCGTGGGTCCTGGGTGCAGCTCAGGGGCCAGTGCCAGCCCGCACGTGTGAGGCCCCGGGTCCCAGCCGGACGGCCACAGGCTCTGCAGCAGGAACCAGCCTTCGAAGACCAGCGGCTGGAAGGTAGTTGTTGAGGAGGACAGAGGGGCAGGCAAGAAGCAGTGTGGGCACCTGACCCTGGGAGTGAGCAAGCCCTGGCCTGCACAGACCATCCTGCACAGGGCCTCGGACATTCTGGAAAAGTCGGGGTGCGCTGGCACTTGGCACCTGTGCCAATCTCCTCTTAGAGCATTGGCCTGCATTCAAAGGCCGCACACCTGTCTGCAGTGGCCTTGCACAGACACCCTGACAGAGGGCAGTAAGGAGGCCAATGGCTTCTACCCACAGGGGGTACTCATGAGACAGTCACAGGACCAAAGTCATGTTGTGCTGGGTGGCCGTTGTTGCTAGACAGCCTGGCCACAGAGATGGTGGCTTTCTCAGAGAAAGCCACTGGTTGTACCGTCATAGCTTTATCTGGTACTGGAAGCAGAGGCTCAGTGGTCGTCTGTTCCCATAGTCCCACTGATTGCTCCAAGGTCATCCTGGAGGTTGGTGGAGCCCACCCCTTTAGCCCTTGCAAAGCATCCACAAGCAAGTTCCACAAGCAAGTTCCAGACAAAATGCATGCATTCCCTATGCTGCTAGGTGAGAGCCCAGCACTGACCTGCATCCCACCAAGAGACGTGCCCAGTGCTCACCTTGTCCAGTGAGAAGACGTACTTGGTCACCAGCTGGCACAGCTCAGGAATCTGGCTCTCAGTCCCCAGGAGCACGTGCTCCACAAAGAGTGCAAGGGGGAAAACCCGATTCCACTGGGTCCTATACAAGAGGGTGTCACACACTCAGCTCTGACAGAGCACTCTGAGACAGGAGGAGGAGACGAGAGGAGAGGGCAGGCTCCAGGCAGCGCGGGAAGGTGAGCTGACAGGAGGGGTTACCCCCAGCCCTGCCCTCAGCAGTGCTCCTGGCCAGCAGGACTTGGGGTCTCCCTCTGCTACCTCAGCACACACTGCCACTGGGCACAGGGAGTCCCTCTTGACACCGTCCAGCACAGGTTGTGACTCCCTCAACCCTGAAGGCCTGCCCCTCTGCTTGCCCTGCCCGCCGTGTCCTTCCACCGGCTCCCTGCCACCACTGTAGTTCTCAAGGTGCAGCTTAGCAACCTGCCAGCCTTTTTGGGCCCCGGGGCACCACGGCCTATGTGCACGTGGCTCTCCTGTCTCCAGCACCTGTCGACAGGCTTCGTCAAGGCACCGTGAGTGCCCAGAGCCCCCTGTGTCAGAAGCATGTGCCCGCCCTGCTGCTAAGTGCGTCTCGACCTGGAGCCCACGGGTGAGCGCAGGCCCAGCGGGCCAGGGCCAGGCGGGCCCAGGTCTCACCTGAGCTCCGCAGCGACAGCTCTGGCCACGCTCCCGCTGCCTTGCAAGTACCCGTCGGAGCACACGAGATCCAGCGGTATGGACAGCTTCCTCACCAGCTGCAGCCAGGCCTGGGCACTCGGCTTCAGGGTGTCTCCCGTCAGCATTTCAGCACAGGCCACGGCGGCCAACACATCCAGTGTCTGGGAGGAGGACAGCGCTCGTGTGACCCTGCGGGACCCCGGCCCTGCACCCACCCTCTTCTTTGCCTGTGGCTCCCATGCCCCTGAAGGGTCTCCCTTGCTCCTGGGGATGGGCCAGGGCCTGGGCCTCCCACAGGGCCGTCCTACCATCTCACTGCCAACGATGTCGTGCTTCTGTGCCGCTTCAGTGAGGCTCTGCAGAACCTGCGGGTGGGTGGTCACGATTCTGGAGAAGTTGTGCAGCCGCGTCCTGAAATGCTGATAGGCCAGGTGCACCCATGGCAAGCAGAGCCCGTCCTCCGGCCTCCCTGAGGCTGCTCGCAGCTCACAGACGCAGGACCACAGGGCCATCTGCAGAAACTGGGGTTTCGAAGGGTTTTAGTATGCATTTTTCAATTATAAAGAGATGTTTTCCTGCGGGAAATCAGAACTATTCAAAAAACCACGGAAAAGAAAGAATTACAAACCAGACTTCACATCTCCCGACTGCTTTTCAGTAGAGCCTCTGGCCACTTTCCTAGCTACGCCTTAGAATCATCCACAGATCAGGATCTGAGGATTTTTCCACTCAAGATTAGACTATGAGAATTACTCTATCACTTACTTGCGGAACACATCATTTTCAATGGTTGCGAAACAACCATTTTAAAATGGCCATACTTTAGTGTGTCCCTCCTTTGTTTATTTGGACACTTAAATCATTTCTAATTCTTCATGATCAGAAACAAAGCTGGAAGAGCCTTTCTGGGACACCTGCCCTGGCTCTGCTGGCTCTAGCAGGATGGCCTGCAGCTGGGGACGAGGCGCTGTGACCACCTGCCACATAATCGCTGCTCAGCACCTGCCCGGGAGGCCTCGCAGTTCCACCATTCCTTTTGAAAACTTGGTTTTGCCAAATGGGCAGGTACAAGTGGCATCTGAAGACTGTTAATGTTCTCTTGACTTTGGTGGGTGGGGGCTGAGCAGGTGAGCAAAGCTTTCCAGACCCCCACACGATTACATTCTGTGTAGCTGACTTGTAGCTTCTACCTGTTTTTAAAAAAACTGGAGAGCTTGTCAAGGTGCTAGAATGTCCCATTCCAGGAGGTGTTGGGGGGTGGCGAGGACTGGCCTGTGCTCTGAGCAGCTCAGAGGATATTCTCAGCCTGGCACCAGCCCTTGGAAGCCGAGTTCCTCTTTGTCCCTAGTCCATTCGTGCAATTTCTACACTTGACCTTGAATGGACACCTACCTCCAGCTCCTCTTGGTTGGACACTCTCATGGTCAAGAGCAGGAAGTCCCTTGAGTAGCACTGAACCAGCTCTTGCTGCTGATCTTCAGGGATTTGGGCAAGAAACATGCCCAGGGGAGTCTGCTGGAAAATTTCCACTAACTTCTCTGACTGTCCTGCAGGGAAGAAGCCAGAGTGGCTTGAGAGAAGCAAAGCCACAAGCTGAGAGAAGCTCGCTGCCCAGGAAGGACCCACAGGCTAGTACAGCCCCCCGGGGCAGCGTGGAGACAAGGTCCTGTTGGCTGCTTTACAGGAACAGAGAATGGAGATGTCCAGACGAGGGGACACGGAAAGGAAGGACACGCCACCCCAACAGGAAAGCACGTCTGAGGTAGCCTGAGTTTTGTGCTACACGTCTGTCGGGTGCAATGGGCCCCAGGAGTCCTGGGTTCCCAGGGCATCAGGACCGAGTGGGCTGCTCTTCAGGGCTGGGGTCAGAGCCTGCACCACCCGAGAGGTTTGCCTCCAGCAGGTGGGGAGTCTGCACACTCTGGGGACCAGCAGGACCAGGCCGGGCGCTGCCCCGAGTAAAGAAACACCCTCTCAGCAGGAGACAGACTGCTTCCAGGGGACAGCGGGAGAATATGGAACCAGAAAAGCAAGTTCACTTCGAGTGTACTGACTGGTTCTCCAAGTAAAGGTTGAAAAGATGACTTCACACGTGAAGCATGACTTCTCAAAAAAGTCATTTCCAAAAAAAGCACTGGCATTGGCTTTTCTGGAATGACTACTGCCAACCCTCACCCCCAGAATGTGACAGCAGAGCACACTGTCTAGCTCATGTGACTCAGGAGGGAAAAAAGAGGACACGCCCCTTTTGTTGCCAGCAGCTGTTGAGAAAGCTTAAAGGGGAAGTTTCCCGGGTCTGAGCCTCAGGACAGGACAGTGAACTCGCAGCAGGTAGGACGCTCCGGCAGCTGCTGGAACAAGCTCCAGTTCACCAGACTGCCAGCCAGAGAGCCACCACATCACCTAACGGCTCCTTCACAGTGGGACTTAAAGGCTTCAGCAGAAATTCCAAAATGAAAAAAAAAAATATGAACTTTAGCCTGTTCCGCACGCAAAGTATGAAAACTAAAAGTCCTGGAATTTACCAGGTGCTAGCCACTGTCAGCCCGATGATGGCCAGGCAGCCTCTCTTGGGGACAGGCTGCTTTACAGGGCTGAATCAGGCCCGACTTGAGCAGGGCTCACCTTTTGTATCCGTGATATACTGGGCCTTGACCCAGAGCTCGTCCAGATAGTCCCTGATTCTCCAGCTGAAGGGGACGCTGCTGCAAGCTCCCTCGGGAAGGCTCATGTGGTTCTGCACCACAATGGAGGACATCTCACTCTTGGATCTGCAGTGGGGTGAGGTGAACAAGAATTGGTTCCTGAGACGGTGCTCTGAATACCAGAGGACGTGTGACACAGTCCTCAAAAGGTGCTGTGGGGGGGCTAGTGTTGTGGCTCAGCGGTAGAGTGCTCGCCTGGCACACGCAGGGCCCTGGTTTCAATCCTCAGCACCACATAAAAATAAATAAATAAAATAAGCGTAATGTATCCATCTACAACTAAAAAATAAATACAAAAAAAAAATATTAAAAATAAATACCGTGGGCCAGAGTTGGCTCCATGGTAGACTGCTTGCCTGGCACATGCAAGGACCTGGGTTCCATTTCCCAGACCACACAGAGCCAGTCAGGGACCCTGCTGTACAGGAATTGGAGACTGCCTCACAACCCGTGTTTACAGACAGAACGGAAGCAGGCCACATGGGCAGGTTTCTGGTGCTGGCACCTGTGCCTCTCCTGCATCTTATTTGGCTACCTTCCAGAACTGGAGTCTTTGCAATCTGAACAGGAATCTGGGGGAGGCTCGACACAGAACTGGGAAGAGCACAGGGGGACACGCTTTCTCAAAAGGGCAGTGTCCCCACTGCACCCGGATTGAACCTGGCTTTCTCGCTCTAACAGGTGCCCTGAGAGAAGGAACATGGAGAGAGGACACAGAACAAAGCTGCCAGGATGCCTGGCCTCTGAGCTGGGTCCAACAATGTTCCGCTTCCCCAAGTACTGGGAGCAGCTGAGGTGCTGCGTGGATTGTCACTCACCTTGTGTTATTCAGCACAAGCGGAATATTCAGGAACTTAGTGTCACGGAAAATAAACATCCACATGTCCTGGACCCAGACTGGGGAGTGTGCTCTGATCAGAAGCTCAAGGTTGCCATCTCTGTCGATGAAAGAGATCATGCTGGCCAGCAGAGGGGTGACCATGCCTTGGACTCGCTTCCAAAGGGTGTGCCTGCAGCAGGGGCAGACAGAGGACAGGGGACAGTGGCTTAGCACAACAGCCAGTTCTGTGATCTTGATGTCTCCTTAAGTATAACAGACTCACAAATACAATTTTCTTAAGTTTAGAAGCAACACAAGAATGGAACTTAATTCTACATCTAGTAACAGTAACTAGTATTTTGAAAAAGTAGAATAAATATTTGCTGCTTTTTAATTCTTTTTAAATATTTTTTACTTGTCCATGGACCTTCATTTTATTCATTTATATGTGGTGCTGAAAATCAAGCCCAGTGCCTCACACATGCTAGGCAAGGGCTCTACCACTGAGCCTCAGCCTGAGCCCCATGCTGCTTTTTTATATAGTGATTTTTTTCAGAACAAGCCATCGAGGTTCTATAAACAAATCAAATAATCACCAAATTCACTAAAAATAATAAATATTGCAAGAAGAAAAATCAGCTGTAGATAAAATATAATAAAGATGAAGAGACCAAAGTAAATTTGATCTAGATAACGTTAAATAAGAAAACACGGTCATCTAGAATTCAGCCTTTGTTGTTGGTGTTTCTGTAACTAACCCTGAGTACTTTAGAGTGACTGTGGTTAATTGGTTGAATTAACTACATTTCACTTTCATATTAAATTGTGCTTTTACGTAACAACAAAACTTCCACAATTTCTTGTGGTAAAGGACAAGAATTACAAATTGTGTTTCAAAAAAAAAAAATGAGGGCTTTTGTATGAAGAGAATACTTCTGAATATACAATATCCAGTATTCTAGGAGGATTTAAAAACATCTACTGAGAGAACAAATATCCTATTATACAAGAACATCACTTAAGACCCCCAAAATAGAACATGCACAGAGGATGGTAGGGTGAGGTGAAAGGGGCCCTGGGCTGGGCACAGCTGAGCATCCTGGGAAGTGCTCGAGAGTAATGCAGTCCCCTCAGAGGGCCTCCAAGAGACCGAACTCAAACAACTTGAGAATCAAAAAGAATATCGAAAGCAACAGGCCACATAACATGGTGAACTAAAAACCAGGACTTGTGATGTAGAGGACCCCAAGGAGCCAGCTATCTAGCCCCGAGGGTACGTGACATTAAGTCCCAGATACACAGTGCTGGTGAAGTGTCATGACGTCTCATGGCCCTGCCAGCCCCAGGTCCAGCTGTTCCTGGACATTGCAGGTGACCACAGGGAGGAAGCCTGTCCTGAGTGCTGTGGAGTCCACGGGGCAATGAAAACGGAGGCCAGCAAGGCCAGAGCAACAGCGGCAAAGGGGCGACGGGAACAGGGCTTGGACGTGTGCTAGGAAATGGAGACCGTCCATCGGGGAGGCGTAAGATGTTCAGTGTCAGTCTCACAAACCCCTCTAGGAGGTGTAGCGGGAAGGGAGTCAGGAGCACAGGAGAGAAAACCCAACAGAGGAGGCTCCACAGAGGGGAAGCCCGCACCCGGGCCCTGGCTGCCCACACTCTGCCTGCTCCCACACTCCCACTGCGGCCATCCGGGGAGAGGGCCTGGAGCCAGGGAGTCGGGGGAGAAGGGCAGACCTGGGGGACCATGGAGGACCTCAGTGGCCTGAGATATCTCTGCCAACAGGTGGGCTCAAGCACCATCTGAGATCCCATGCATGCTCCTGTCCCCACAGCACAGGGTCTTCAAAGGTCATCTCAAGACTGAAGACAAAGGTCCACAGCCAATAAATGACACTCCAGGGTCCTAATTTTGTTCTTCTGTTACTTCAAGAAGTAGGCTGGGAAGATAATTTCTGCTACTTCCCTGCACACCACCATCTCAATTTTAATAACTAAAGGCAAACTGGCTGCGGTCTATGGCATGCTGGCAAACATCCTGTGAACATTTTTGATTGTTTGTTTTCTATTATGAAAAATATTAAGCAAACAAAAGCAGAAAAAGGAGGCCAACAACCCCCATGACCACCATCCATGACCACAACCAGGTGACCAACAATCCCCCATGACCACCATCCAGGGGACCAATACCCCTCAAGACTACCATCCAGGTTTGCTTTGGGCTCTTGAAGCAGAAATAAAGCTCTGCATGCTCAGAGGTAGAGAAACACCTGCTGCGCTCCCTCAGCTGGGAGGGCGGAGGTCCCCACGCCCCGGCCACCCTCCGCACCTGAAGGTGCCGGCCTCCTGGAGCGCGTCCTGGTTCGCAGCCTCTCGCCCCACCCACTCCTTCAGACTGCGGAGCTGGTTCTCTTCTTGCTTCTTCAGAAGGACAGAGAGGCGCTCCTTGGATATCCGCAAGAACGCGGCTGTGAAAAGGCAGAAGGGACAAAATCTGTTGCACACAGGGGCACCAAGTTGCAGGCTCTATGGTGCTGCTTGTCTGGCTTCCCCAAAGAGGGAAGCCTCGGGCCCTCTGGGCAGGCCAACTCTAGAGCAGAAGTCAGGAGACGGCCTCGGATCCCCACTACGCCAGCTGCCACGCCAGCTGCTGCCCACTGCTCAGGAAGGGCCTGCTGGAGCAGGGTGAGAAGCAGGGACCCGACTCGTACCACTGCACCTGCCGACTCCGCTCAAGAGGCTGAGGAGGACGGTGACTCTCCTCACGTTGCGCGGGCAGCTCTCCTGGTCCCGGAGCATGCCCACGGCACTTTGCACACAGCTCCGCAGCAGTCGGGTGGTGTCCAGGACCTGTGCCTGCCAGGGAGACAGCACGTCGTCTGCTGCTGCCGTGGCCAGGGAGGGTGAAAGCCAAGCTCCCCGAGAGGATGGCCTCATGTGAGTCTCCAAGGCGAGGCCGACCTACCGACCTCCCTGGGCTGGGACCTGTGTGCTGCCTGACCCCCTGAGGACCACTGGCAAGGTGGTGGCAGACATCAGGGATTTCGTCAGAGGTTGAGGGAAGGGGCAGAGCTACCTAGGGGGCTTCATAAAGAAGGGAATGGCAGATCTTGTCCTGGTAAGTCCTGACAAGTGAAGAGAGAAGTCAGGGGTCAGCCTGACCCTAGAACAGCTGCACGGGCTCCCCCAGAACTCACATCACTGTCCCTCAGATCCGCAGCCTCACACCCCATCTCCTCAGGACCTTCCCTTTCCAATTCCTCTTCTGTCACCTCCCCTGACTTGCTGGTTTCTGCCTCCATCACCTCCTCCTGGTTGCCTTTCACTGCAAGTGAAAGAAACACGATCAAGTTACCACTTGGAGAAGGAAGGGGTGGGTGGTACCACATCTGTGCTTCGGCTGCAGTTGGCCAGCATTTCCCCTGTCCCAAGCTTCCATGGCGGCCCCAGATCCTCCAGATCAGCACAAAATCCACTGGTCAGCTGGCCCACAGCCTGGGCTGAGAGCTGGCACATGACCCACAGCACACCAGCTGGTATCCTGGGTGCGCTCGATGGCCCTCCGTGGCCCTGGCGATCTGGACTGTGAGCCGGGCACATCCTGAGTTCCTGCAGAGGACAGGTGCTGAGACCAGAGATGACTCAGGCATGGCAGCACCGACTCTGGCACCACAGAAGGCTGCCGGGCTCAGCTCCTTCCACCTGCCTTCCCCCACCTCCCAGACTGCCACCTACAACTCACGCTCAGGGCTGCCTCCTGGCATGAACAGCTGGCTGATGGTGAAACTCTGCAGCTTGGTCACATCAGAGGCCATGACTGTGGACCTCCGGAGGTCATCGATGTGCACAGACCTCCACAGTCCTGTGAGGAACAAGGCCATGAAGTCTTCTCAAGTCTTTGCGGCTTTCTTCTTACCAGTTATAAGCAGGGACACACCTCTGTCCAGATTTTTAATCACACTACTTAGCCAGAGGGACAATTAGTACCTCAGAGTCTATGCTCCTGAACCACCAGACACTACATCCACACCAGCATGCTCACCATCAACATGAGATTGAGCCTGACTAAATGGTGTGCAAAGGCTGCATGGATCCAGTTTGTGGTTCTTTTTTTTGGGTACCAGGGATTAAACTCAGGGTCACTCAGCCACTGAGCCACATCCCCAGCCCTATTTTGTATTTTATTTAGAGACAGGGTCTCACTGATTCGATTAGCACCTTGCTTTTATAAAGGCTGGTTTGGGACTCACGATCCTCCTGCCTCAGCCTCCTGTGCCACCTCACCCTGCTCAGTTTGTGGTTCTTTATGTTCATCTCACTGTACTTACTGTATCATACTTAGAAAGGGCTACAAGGTGCTGACGGGTTGGCTCTCCACCTATGAAATCATAAGACTTATTTCTCTCTTTCCAGAATAACAATTGTCTTATATAATCCAGCTGGTGACCATTCCACAGAAAAAGAGATGGGCGGATTTGAAGATAGTGTTTCCCCAGAGCAGGCGCAAGAGCATGGGCCAGGCCATGCTGACACAGCAGCAGATCCCAGGGCGAGGGCTGTGGCGGGGGGCCCAGAGACAGCAGGGGTTGGTATCTGACCTGAATGTGGGCAGCCTGGGACCAGAGAAGCAGCTCAGACCTACGTAAAGACAGTCACTCGTATTTTGGCCCTACCTCCATGGAATCCCACGTAGGATGCTCCGCTGCCCATGCGGGACAGTTTTGTGATGAAATAGATGAAGACACAGCCCTGAGTTCCTTGCATTTTGTTGACTTCATTGATGGCAGAATACCTATCAAGAGAACAAAATTAAAACAAAGCAAGCAACTAAACAAAAGCCCAGTCGTGATGTGGCTGCTGAATGTCCCAGGAGCTGTTGGGGGTTTGGCCACATTCCACACCGCCAGGGGCCACCACATCTCTGTGACAGGAGGAGGGTGGCTTCCTACTGGCAGGCTCACTTCCTCCCTCTCGTTGCTGACCAGAACCCCCACGCAGCACTCCTCAGGGGCCACACGTGCCAGAGCAGGGGGCTTGCCAGTCTTGCCATTTCGAGAGAGTACCCTGTGGTCCTGTGTCCTTGCAACGCCCCTGTCGGATCAGGCTGGACCTTAACTTGTACTAGGGTCTCAGTGCTTTAAAAAGGCAGAAGTCACTCTTAAGTGACATAAGGTGACAGAACACAGCTGATTCTGAAAGCATCACATTTCCTCTATGGACACTATAAAAATGTACATAAATATTAATTTATTTACATAGTCTTACTGCCCTTAAACTTGTAGTAAGTTATTTTCTTTATATGCAGTGCTGGAGATCTGACCCAGGGCCTCAGGCATGCTAGGCAAGTGCTCTACCACCAAGCTGCACCCCACACTGTCCTTTAATTCAAATTGTGCAATTCAAAACCAAAATGACCCAAACATGACTGCAAACACAGGCTTTAACGCGTTCTTCCACCCACCAGGAACATTCCATTATTGACGGGTCTTGCATTTCCCGCCTTTGGGCCATTCCTGGCCTTTCCCTTCATCCTTTCCTCTCTAGTGTCTCTAGCCCATGTCAGGGGCTGGGAGGGAGAGTCTTTCTTGTCTCCACACCATTTTTCAGGGAGGAAATTCTCTAGGAGATCCTGGGTAGCTTTTGGCTTACAATGATTTTCTGAGAAAAATCCCAAGAACATACTTAGCTGACGCAACCAGCTGAGCACTGTGAGCGCCGTCGTCAAAATCCATCTGGACGATGAGGATTTTACATCTGGCCGTCTTCACTAAGCTGCTTCTGAAAGAAAAAGGGATCACCCAAGTGAGTCCTCTGTCCTAAAACACGGGAGCCACAGATCAAGGGCTGAGGCAGGAGGGCCGCAAGTTCCAGGCCAGCCTCAGCAACTCAGCAACTCAGCAAGATAGTGTCTCAAAATCTAAAATAATAATAATGAAGGGCTAGGGACGCAGCTCAGAGGTAGACTGGCTGGGTTCAATCTCTAGCACTACAGGTGAAACAAAACAAAAACATGGATCACAGTACTCCACAAAGTGAAGGGAAATTCAGGCCATGCAGAACCCAGCATCTGGGTGGGGTCCCCCTCCACAAGGTGAGGACGCAATCCACTGGCGAAGGAGAGGCCTAGGCAATGCTCAGGAGACAGGTGGACATGACTGTAGACAAGGCCACTTACAGCTGGGGCCAGAGGGTCACACCAGGGGACCGAGCAATGACCCTCTCAGAGTTCCTGACAAGTGGTTACCACGCCCTGGCACACAACACCGTGAACCCAGGACATAGGCCAAGGGTGATGGGCAGGCAGGGCATCTCACCGGACTTCCTTGAGGAACGAGTACTCAGTGTCAAACTGTTGCAGTGACAGGATCACGGGCTTCGGGGCCAAGCCCTTCACGTCCGCCCCTAGGGCCTCGCAGTCATGGCTCGTCAGCAGTCTGGAGAAGGTGGTGACCTGCAATGTGGGCACACAAGCCATCAGCTGAATTCAAGCAAGGGCACAGAGCACTGGGTCCGAACCCGGGGTCAGTGGGCATTCGAACAGAAAGAAGCCTGACCCAGAGCAGCTTTTACATGCAAGGATGGCTGAGGCGAGGATCTCCAGGATCAGCAGAGAGAAGACTTGCCCTGCCCCAAAGATGCCTCGGTCTCCTTCTAAGATGCCAACGTCTCTCTTTCTGCTTTGGTCCCCAGCTAAAAGCCTCCTGATCCTTTAGGGCTCAGCTGAAAACTAGAGTTAGCCTCCACCAGCTCTTCCTCCCTCGGCACTTTGCAGTTCTCTGCCATGGACCACGCTCCACAGCGCAAACCCAGCTGTTCGCGGCACACGGGACCTCAGCTCTCCAGACCCCTTCTTTTTCTTTTTTTCTTTGTTTTTTTTTCAGTACCAGGGTATGAACACAGGAGAGCTTAACCACTAAGCCACATCCCCAGTCCTTTTTTATATTTTATACAGAGACAGGATCTCGCCAAGTTCGAGGGCCTTGCTAAATTGCTGAGGCTGGCTTTGGACTCTCGATGCTCCTGCCTCAGCCTCCCAAGCCTCTGGGATTATCAGTGTGGCCTTCATCCCCGACTTCAGATCCCTTCTCTGGGCCTGTCCTCAATGACCAGCTTCCAATTCTCACGTTCGACCACAGCAGACACACAAACTATGCCAAACAGATGCCACTACTGGCTCCTAAACCTGTCGCTCCTTCCTGGATTCTCCATGGCAATTGCGCAAAGCTGCAGTGAGCTCAGGAAGACTGTCCCCCACCTCTGTACCCTACATGGAGTTGGTGACTACCTCGGCCACACTGCCTGCTAACCGTTTGCAGTTTACACCACGCCAGCCGCCTCTTGACAGGTCTATCCTCTCAATGTCAGTCTCTTGCTCCACTGTCTTGCCATCGCCCAAGCAAGGGGCACATCTACGTACACCTTCCTCCACACTCCTGTGTAGGCAGGACCAAGGTCAAGGCTGCTGACAGGCCCTCCATGCATCTCCCCACCTGTCCCATCCCCAGGACCCAGCACTCACAGCCTGAACTTCACGCTCGGGCAGTGGTCTCCTCCTCGTCTCCTGCACAGATGCGGATTCAGACTCAGTGTCTGTGCTCCACGGAGCCCTCTGCCTCTGACGCCTGCCAGCCAGCCCTCACAGCCAGCCCAAGAGGCCTCTCTGAACTGCCTGTGATCCCTATCCTCACCTGGCTACACAACAGTGACCTATGACACTCAGGGCATCTGTTGGAAGGCATCCTCGTCCGTTACTCTAACAAGGTCCAAGGATGAGAAGCAAGCCAATCGACTGACACCCCGAGAGGGCCGGCAAGTGAAGTGAACACTGAACCCAGTGCTGCTCTCGGAGCAGAGCGCTGCTCACCCACAGGCAAGGGAAGCCTAACTGAGCTTATCCTCTGCGACTGACACAGAGGGGACACTCCCGCCTCCCATACCATGCACTGACTTAATGGAGTTGAGACGTCCCGGCCCCAGATCAGGACTCTTGGATGAAAGAAGACGGGGGAAGCTATGGGGACAGTCACCTCTGTGAAGATGGCATGACGCTCCAGGTCTGCGGTGCGAAGGTGGGCCTGGAGGAAATCGGCAAAGGAGTGGTGCTGCTGCTTGTTCCAGTATTCCTGCGACAGCGACTGTGCAGCAAACGAGCCCAGCGCAGAGGTGCTCAGCCGCACCATGGCATCCGGCGTGGCGCAGTCCAGCAGGATCCGCTTGGCCTCCTCGAACACCCTGTGGTACAGCTCCTCTGATGGGTCCCCGGGGCCCTGCCTCTCCACAGCCTGCAGCACCACAGAGGCACAGGCGTCGGAGTGGTAGCCGATGAAGACGTCAGCAGGGCTGTACTTGTGCCCAGCCAGGAACTGATGATGGGCCTTTACATTAGCAAACTGCTCTGCCCACCGCGTGAGCTCCTGCACGATGCTCTTCTGCCACCCCTGCAGCACCGAGCTGAGGTCCAGGTAGTGCTTCTCCAGCCGGTTAATGAGGGGCACGGGGAACTGCTCGTACACCACATTCTTCTCCTCGACGACAATCAGGCGAAAGTCGGGGTGGACCCGACACTTGACGCGATGGGTGCCGAGCCCGAGGTCCACGTACTTCTGGCCCCCGAGGTAGACGTAGTACTGGTTGAGCGCGTCGTACAGGCTCTCGTAGAGGTGCTGCAGGTTCAGCAGCACCACCATCTTGCCCGTCTCCATGCAGATCTTCACCCGGTTGATGTTTCTGCAGATCTGGGTGTACTCCTGGTCCCGGGGAAAACTGGAACCAAAGAT